TCTCCTTAATGGCAAATAATTGTCCTTGAACTTTCTATCATTATTATTGTTATTATTATTTTATAGTATTGTTCTGTTTATTTTTATCCTCCTGCTGCTAAACTAATTTCCCCTTGTGGGACAATAAAGAAATTGAATTGAATTGTATTGAATCTTCTTCTTCTTACTTGGCGGAATCTCTGGCAGGCTCTTAACTTCAGTCTCGAGTTCAGCCACCTTCACAGTGAGCATTTTCTGTATGTCTCGTAGTCTTTGCAAAGATTCCTGTACAGACAATGCAGCTGACTCTTCTTTTTCTATCTTCTGTTGTTCTGTGGTGTCTTTTTCTTTCAGAGCCTCCTGCAGAGACATTGCAGTAGATGGCAGTGAGTCCTCTTTTTCCATCTTCCCCTGTTCTCCAGTGTCTTTTTCTTTCAGAGGCTCAGATTTTGACATTTCATTTGCATCGGTGGAATTTTGTTCTTTTTGCTGTTGTGGGATTTTAAGTGAGGAAGCTTTGGCTTCTTTCAGCTCCCACTTAAGAGTCTCTACCTTCAAATCATGAAAGGCCTTGTTGGAGCAGAGCTGGGATTTGAGGTCACTGATTTCTGTGTTGACTGTCTCCTGCTCCTGCCCATGTTTAATGTCCTGTTCTTCGAGTTGATTTTCAGCTGCTAGGAGCTGTTTCTGGAGCATCTCTATCTGCTCTTGTTGATTCCTACATTGGACCTCAAATTCAGCCTCCTTAGAGGACGTCAGGCCTACAGAGTGTGTGTGTGAAGCCTCCTGCAGGGTAACCATCACCTCATCAAGTTTGACAATTGCTTCACTGTCATTTGTGAGAGCCTCTGTCTCACTGTTGCTATTGGGCTTATTACTAGAAGCCTCCTCCAGCTGCTCTATGAGGTCTTTAATCGTTTCCTCAGGATTTCTCTTGTTCTCGTGCATTTGTGCATGAAGGTTGTTCACCTGAAACAGGTGATAAGAAGCCCTCTTGTTAGCAGCTACCATTTTCCAATAAAGGGCGTTCTGATGGCTCTGGGAGACTTCCAGTTGCTGTCTGAGAGCAGCATCTCGTGCCATGGTTTAAATTGGACACTGCCCTGATGGGGTCTAAATCTGGGATTGGGCTGATATTGCCAAGTCCCTCCATTAGGCCCAGGGTTCGGTCTGCTGGGGTTATTCACGTTTCCCTCTCTCTCCATATTGATGTCCTCCTTTGCTTTTGAGATAGTGAGGGATTCAGCTTTTTCCCTTTCAGAAGTGGCTTCAGTGTTTTCTTGCATTTCTTTATTTCTCGGGTTTGTTCCATCAGCTATGTTGTTTTGAGCTTCAACAAGAGCGCAGGCATATGCCCGAGTAATTGGTCTTCTTGGTTCTTCAGCCACTTTTTGCTTTTTTGTTTTCTTTGGTTTCACCAACATTTCATTTTGAGCTTGTGCCACAGGAGACTTTTCAGGATTTGGTCTTCCGGCTTTTTCAAGCTCATTTTTTGGTCTTTGCAAGATTGTTATTTTTGGTGTGATGACCATTTCGGTTTGTGCTTCTGCCATCGTAGGTGCTTCAGCGTTTGCGGCTGCGTTTCTCTGCGTCTGCCTTACCTTTGATTTAACAACCAGGTTGTTTTGTGTTTCTGCAGTCTAGGTGACTGACTGACCAATTTATCCACCTGATAAAAGCATTGTTTCATTTTCCTGGACAAGTCCATTTAAGAGACCTGCTCTCTGTCTGGTGTTTTGATAGTAAACATGTCTTTCTGTCTGTTGCAGTAACGAGTCGGATGTAGTGGAGTCTATAGATGCCATCTACACCACAGGAACCTTTGTTCAGATTCATGAGATGCAGGACTTGGGAGACAAGCTGAGGATGATTGTCATGGGACACCGCAGGTTAGATGTACTGCTATTACTGGTGGGTGAGAAATTTTAGGTTAAAGGGCATAGGGATTGGTTTCATTAGAACTCTGGAGACAGTGCTCTCACTTATGAGTATGTATGTTATTTCTTCTGTATATCATCTGGGCTGTAAGGATCCGGATCACAAAACAGCTGCAGGTGGAGCCTGAAGAGGAAATAGCTTCAACTGTGTCAGAGTTGGAGTCTGAGCCAGAGTCCCACCAGAAACCTACACAAAGACGCAAAACCAAACGCAGCCGCAAGGACCATCTCAGTTCTCTGCCAGAGCAGCTTGAGGACAAGGTGAGAAACAGGAGCCTGATATCACATATGCCTTCTATGCAAGCAGTCGAGAGAAGGACACAAAGATTCATTTCACCACAGCGTTCATTTTCTTTTGGACCTCCTCTTAAGTTGTCTCGGCTTTAAATTAACTGTCAGTGGTGCAACGGATCACGGTTGAAGTTTTCTGAAATCCACTTTTTAAGTCTGCTGGTCCTTAACTTTGGGAGAAGCAACCTGTCACTGAACAGACTCCTCTGGTTGTTTATGGCCGTGTGCAGAGGATGCAGAGGATGCCCAGAATGGTCCATAATGTCCATATTGCACCTTAATTTGTTTTTATATAAGTGAGTGGAATGAGTCTTCAGTTGAATGTTTTTTTAATAGGCAAAAATACTTAAATAAGTAAATGGCGAGTCGAATTTTTTGCTTTTTTTTTCTATTTTTGCTGATCCGAAAATTGATCCGATCCGTGACTTAAAACCGTGATCCGATCCGAACTGTGAGATTTTTGATCCGTTACACCACTATTAACTGTATGCGGTGGTCCAAGGGGGCGTGCTTTTACATAAAGTTACGTGTAAGCAAAACAGTACAAAGAAAAAGTCATTAACAGGAACGCCTGAGGTTAACCCAACACAGTCGCATTGTTTAGGCAATGCTTCCTTGCACATGCCTAACTGCAGGAAACTTCAAGGTAACCACATATAGACTAAACCAGCATCGTTTCTAAGCACAGGGTTCACAAGCACACTAAACCTGCTATAAAAAAGCATGGCAGGTTTGATCAGATTTCCCCCAAATGTATATAATCACAGTGTAAGGCGTTTTCACGTTGCCGTGTTGCTTGTGTCGTAGGTGTCGCTTGACGATTTTCACACACCCTGCGTCTTGAGACACAATCTTTGTGTCCCGTCGGTCGGTTGTGCACATCTTGAGTCGGGTTGAAGATACAACTGTACGGTTATGGTTTAGCTCCATTTTAATATTAATCCTGAACAGAAGCTCAGAGACATACACAGAGGAAGATGTTGGAGCAGTTTGAAATCGGTGCTTATGATTTAATCACACTCTAGATCTTGTTGTAACATATGATATAGAAACTGAACATTTTAAGAGTTTCTTGAAAACCCCTTTCTTGTCTGATCATTTCATAATAACATTTCAATTTAAAATAATTGATCACACAGCAGTGGGGAGTAGAGTTCATTACAGTAGATGTCTTTCTGAACCTGCTGTAACTAAGTTTAAGGATATAATCCACCCGCTGTTATCATCTTGCCCTGGAACAACACAGAGCAGAGCAGCTACCTGAACACTACTGCAAGAGAGGTTGATTATCTTGTTTATAATTTTAACTCCTCACTACGTACGACTCTGGATACTGTAGCTCCTGTGAACAATAGAGCCTCAAATCAGACGTACTTGACTCTCTGGTATAACTCTCATACACGCACCTTAAAGTAGGCAGCTCGTAAGCTGGAGAGGAAATGGCATATCGCAAACTTAGAAGATCATCATTTGGAAATAGTTTGCAGCTTTATAAGAAAGCCCTCCATAAAGCCAGAACATCTTACTATTCTTCACTAATTGAGGAAAATAAGAACAACCCCAGGTTTCTCTTCAGCACTGTAGCCAGGCTGACAAAAAGTCAGAGCGCTGTTTTAGCCAAACATCCCTTTAACGTTAACTAGTAATGACTTCATGAACTTCTTCACAAAAAAAATAATCTTTAGAGAAAAATTACTCATATTAATCATCTCACAGACATAACATTATGTACAGTTGCTTTCTGTACCACTGGTATGTATTTAGACTCTTTTTCTCCAATTGATCTTCTTTCTGAGTTAACTAATGACTTCCTCCAAACCATCAACGTGTCTTTTAGACCCCATTCCTACAAAACTGCTCAAAGAAGTCCTGCCATTAATTAATGCTTCAATCTTAAATATGATCAACCTATCTCTAACAATCGGCTATGTATCACAGGCCTTCAAGCTGGCTGTAGTTAAACCTTTACTTAAAAAGCCATGTCTTGACCCAGCAGTCTTAGCCAATTATAGGCCAATCTTCCTTTTATCTCAAAAGTCCTTGAAAGAGTAGTTGCTGAACAGCTAACAGATCATCTGTGGAGGAATGGCTTATTTGAAGAGTTTCAGTCAGGTTTCAGAGCTCATCACAGAAACAGCTTTAGTGACGTTACAAATGATCTTCTTATGTCCTCTGATAGTGGACTCATGTCTGTGCTTGTCCTGCTAGACAGTTTTATCTGAGTGGCGACACCTATTGTTTAACAGAATACTGCAGCGACTTCTTGCTTCTTAACTGGGGGTATAAATCACTGCATCTGTGTGATGATGATGCGGCGGTGCATGAAGCAACCACAGCGGAGGGTACATTGGCAGCTTAAGTAAATAAAAAAAAAAAAAGAAGTTCCTTTTATAGAAGTGTGTAAGCTTTCAACATGACCTACATTTGTTAAGGATGGTTTGAAACTATTTGGCTCAGTCAGTGTCCACCAAGCTGTGCATCTTGGTTTTGATAATGTGTCATTAGTGATGGGTATAGTAATATTTATATTTTACAGTTCTTTCCACATTGATAGTAATTATTTTTGTTCTATTCAGATATCAGAGGCAGACCTGAGTCCAGAGCTTCAACCTTTGCCCTCCTCCAACATCCTGATGGTCGAAGTGGACAATGTTCAGCATGAACAGTTCACCGTCACCGAGGAGGTCAAGGTACAGAAAATGCATCAAAGTAGCGTGTTATTACATCATCTTCAATCAAGTGATTTTTAAAAAAAAAAAATTAAACTGTTTGTCATTCTTTAACACACACGTCTGTAATGTCATGTGTTCTACAGGCGCTGACAGCAGAGATAGTAAAGACCATCAGAGACATCATTGCACTTAACCCCCTCTACAGGTCAGTTCTACCATTTCAGTTTTATCATATGCAATCTGTAAACTTTCATTTTACTTTACTTTTTTACTTTGTACTGCTTGTAGTTTCAGGTTTCCATTCTATAAACCTAGTAAGGGTGTTCAACATCTTAAAGCAATTTCCAGGCAATCTGTGCTCGGTGCACCTTTTCAGCTGATGCTGAATTAGGCTGTTTTCTAATTTGCCAATGAAAACACTTTAAAGTCAGATGTTTATATTAGTACCAGGCTGTCGGGATGAAAACAAAATCCAACTGTAGTATTGATGAAAGGGAAGTTTTCTGAAATGTGCTTGTTTGTGTGTGAACCAGAGAGTCGGTCCTTCAGATGATGCAGGCTGGTCAGCGTGTGGTTGATAACCCCATCTATCTCAGCGATATGGGAGCAGCTCTGACGGGAGCTGAATCGCATGAACTACAAGACGTCCTGGAGGAGACTAATGTGAGCAGTCTGCCTGCTTATAGACCTTTATGACACTCAGTGTGTGAGCATTTTCCAGAGCAACCAGTGACGTGCTAACTTGTGACTCCTTTTCTTATCCTAAAACTTGTTTTTTGATACACTAATAGTGTCCAGTTGATTTTCAACTCTGAGTGGAGTGTCTTTATTTGATTCTAATACCCTCGTTTATGCGTGTGTACAGACTTATTAAGAAACGCTTTTCTCATACAAAATAATAATAAATCAAGAAAGCAGCGTTTTTTTGTTTTGGCTTTTTTGTTACTGAGAGATTACTACAGAAACGTCATCTCCAACTCTGCTGTTCTATTTCATGAAATCAGTGTAGCAGAGTTCTGTTCATTAAAAGTTCTGTGTGCAGTTCATTGAGTCCTGTTTCTGTGTCCATGCAGATCCCGAAACGTCTCTACAAGGCTCTGTCTTTACTCAAGAAGGAGTACGAGCTGAGTAAGCTACAGCAGCGCTTGGGTCGTGAGGTCAGACGTCATCATAATGTTGAAGTATTAAATAACTTCTGCTTAGGTTGTTACCCTTGGCCATTCATCCGTGTCTCTTCTATGTTCTCAGGTGGAAGAGAAGATCAAACAGACCCATAGGAAGTACCTGCTGCAGGAGCAGCTCAAGATCATTAAGAAGGTACACCAGACTAATCTGTGACAGACCACCTCTGTCTTCCCTTTGCCTGACAGACCCAAAGTCATTCAGGAGAAACACTTGGGCTCTCAAAAACTCTGGGGACTTGCAGCAGTCAACTGTCAGCATACTGTTAAGACACGTCTTACAAGCCAATAGTCTCAATCCGGCACAGCTGACACCTAAAGCACCTTTTCCGTTAGTACCTACTCCGATCGACTCGCCACGATTCAACTTAGATCGACCGGTTTTCTTTTACAAACAGTGCTATCTGACACGCATGTCATCAGAGCGTCCCGCGAGGTAATTAGTATACGACACGAATGCTACAACAAAGGTGGACGTTGAGGCAAGAATATACCTGCAGCTCGGTCTGTGGCATTTTGTAATTCTCTGGGATCATGGCGATGTTTTTGTAGCCATTTCTTGTTTTCAGGTTTCAAAAATGGCAGATTTGAACTCCTCAAATGATCAGCCATGTAGTGGCATGTAGTCGCCTGACGTCACATTTTAGCACCTGCTCGTATCGCTTGGAACCCCGGGCGAGCAGGTACTAAGAAAGTACCTGGTACCAGGTACTACAGCATGACGTAATTGAAAACTGACTGGATACTACATCAAATCACCTGTCTGGTGTACTTTGAACCATATTTTCCATTTATATGCTTTTGGTATTGGTCTCTTGGCAGGTGCATACACCGTTTCAGATTTAAATGCATAATTTTATCTTTATCATAGGCAAAGAAAATGTGAGCTGCACTCAGAGTACAGTAGGAGCATGCGCCGTGGATGCAGGTGTGTGAAGATGTGGCTCATAAAATATTCTGTGTTTTTGTCATTAGGAGCTGGGTCTGGAAAAGGAGGACAAAGATGCTATTGAGGAGAAGTTTCGTGAAAGACTGAAAGATAGGACGGTCCCTCAGCATATAATGGATGTGATCAACGAAGAACTCAACAAGCTGGGTCTTCTGGACAACCATTCATCAGAGTTCAAGTTAGTCGTCTTGTTTTAGTCTTCAAAGGCCTTTGAACCACAATACCACTTTACACTAAAAAAAAAAAACAGGAGTCAACTTGAAAACTACTAAACAGAATAGAGGGAAATGTAGTTTATGTAGTTATGCTATTGGAAAATAGAACAGAGGAAGAGGAAGCAGAGTTTGGCTAAGGATACTTTAACACGTGTTATCTGAACCCCTCTTTGCTCCATGGTGCGTGTGCGCGATTGCATTGGTATTTGCACTTATGCAGTATCTAACGAACCCAATCACTAAAACAGTCTCCTGGCTAACACGTTACCTTGGAGACTTGGTTCGCGCACCCTCACTTCCTTTTATCGCTCCATTTTCTAACAAAATGAGGCATCTTTGCTTTTTAGCTGCAGTTTTATAGAAACATCAGGTAGACGTGATGTGTTTTGCATTTTATTTGATGTAGTTCTGCTCCCACCATATTTCGTGCACTCCAGCTGTGTGTCACACCACTCTTATACAATACTGGTGCATAAAAGACGTCACGAAGCGAACACCCGTTTGTCTCCAGTCACAGCTCCCCTGGCAGCCTCCTTTCTCCTTGGTCCTCTTTCGCTTTGAGTTTAAATGAAGTAAATGAGTCGAGACAGTACGACGAGCTTACGTAAAGAGAGACAAAGGAGAGAAGATGAAGAGGAACAAAATAAAGAAATGAGAACATTTATGAGGAAGGAAATCTCAGTTAGGGCAGCAGCTATTGATTATTTTAGTAAATGAGTAATCTCTCGATTAGTCCATCGATCAATTGAGTAATTAGATAAAAACAATAAATATTCAAAAGAGAAAAACCACAGGTCTTTCAGAATGAACTGTTTATTTCCATTTTAGGTATTACAATGTTTTAAAGTTTAGCTGCATACGGCATCTGTTAAAAATAACTTAATGGGCTTAATGTTGTCAAACGTTTTATTCATATGCTGCTCATAACTACGTCTCCGTGTAGCAAAGCTCCATCTATTTTAACATTGGCTGTCCATCTGCTTGTTTTATTGACTATTTGCAGTAATCAGGAATCTACTGTTTGTTTCAGTGTAACCCGCAACTATCTAGACTGGCTGACCAGCATGCCCTGGGGTACCAACAGTGAAGAGAACTTGTTACTGGACAGAGCGAAAGAAGTCCTGGAAGAAGACCATTATGGAATGGATGATGTTAAGAAACGCATACTGGTACGCACACACACTCTAATACTCTGTATTTGATACATCAGATATATCCACACCCACAGAACAGTGGATCCTTTTTTATAGAAATGAACATCTTTCTTTTTACAGGAATTTATAGCAGTGAGCCAGCTTCGTGGCACCACCCAGGGGAAGATCTTGTGTTTCTACGGTCCTCCAGGTGTAGGAAAGACCTCCATCGCCCGCTCGATAGCCAGAGCTCTCAACAGAGAATACTTCAGGTTCAGCGTGGGAGGCATGACAGATGTGGCTGAGATCAAGGGGCACAGGTATGATCTGTGCTACTGTTATTTCTGAGAGACCTTATCCTGGATTACATTGTCAGTATCATGTGCAGAGAAGGTGGCATCCTGCACAAGGGCAGATAATGGTAGAATTAAATGTGATGGACTATGATGGGATGCAAATCAAGATCAAAAAAGGCAACTGTGCACACATCCAAGCAACAAAAAAACTTGGAGTGCTGTGGATTGAGTCGTTTAGTTGTTTTAATTGGCCAGTATTAGTGTATTCTTCACCAAAATTTGTAATCATGGTGGATTGTTTTATGTCACTACTAACTATGGAATGAAAAATGATAGGGCAGCGCTTTGCTAGTAACTTTAACTTTAACGTTCTCTGCTTTCCTGCTGACATGAGGGATGGCACTGATGAACAGGTACGAATGGTAGAGTAATAACTTAATTGGCTGCTTGACTTTATAAAGGAAAAGTGAAATCTTCCCTGAATTAGATTTGGCTGGATGCCGCTTTCAGGTTGCCTCTCTGTGCTTCTCTGAACCAGTTTAAGACCTTCTGTAATTGTAGATCTCTTACGGATTAATGGAAACATCCACAGTGTGTCCTGGTCTTCTCCTCTGTGTCCAAATGGCAACAATTCAACTTTCATTTTGAGGAAGACGATACAAATCACTCACTGTAAAAATTGCATGTGTGTGTATCCAGACGGACATATGTTGGAGCAATGCCGGGAAAGATAATTCAGTGTCTGAAGAAAACCAAAACGGAAAATCCTCTGGTGCTGATAGATGAGGTGAGTGTTGTGATGATGCTCTTGTCGTTGTCTGTTGATTTCAGCATAACGTAACCAAAGCAACATTAATATGAAGGCCATCTGTTCATGTGTGATTTTTGTGCTGATACGATGTTTTAGCTTCACTTTGATAAACGGATATTTTTGTTTCATATAATCTGGCACTGAATGACATCTATAACTATAACGTTCTGTAGTATATTGTTCGTGGCAGTGCTAAAATCATGCACTCTATATCAAAAAATGCTCAGTCAGTAAAAGGAGAAACTGTCAAATTAATTTAAAGCCACTGAGTTGTTTTGCTGACAGCAGTTTGAGAGATCTGTTCAGGGACCATCAGTAAGTCAAACAGCAGTGTGATAGTTTATAGGCTGGGTAAAGTAGAAGCTCAGGCTTCATACTGCTCTGCTCTGTCATATTTTTTACTTTGCTGAGCTGATACAGTATCACGTCCTGTTCCTGCTACAACACACCTTGGGGGATAGTTTATCTGTGTAGCCCATTTAATTAACGTAACTTTAGACAGGTGTTTCATAGTGCAATCATAAAGTTTTATCTCACATAGGAGGTCATCTGATTGTTGGGGTTCTCTCTTTTTTCGGTATTAAACTAGCCTTTTTACCTTACAATGTAAAGTGCCTTGAGGCGACAGTTGTTGTGATTTGGTGCTATAGAAATAAAACTGATTGTATTTAACCCACGCAGACATTAGGATAATGCACATAGAAGTGTCCTGCCCAGATGATGCGTTCAAACCCCGGCCATCTTGCTGTGAGGCAACAGTGCGTCCCTGTTCTGGCTCAGCCAAAGGCTTTTCAAGGAGATTTTAGAGCAATTCTTTAATTATTACATCCTATTAAGTAAAAAAGGGATTAACTAGTTTTTCAGCACTGTTCTAAAACAATATTTGTCTAATTATAACAATATTACACCAAAGACAGAAAGCAGTCCTACATATTTAGAAAATATTTAATATGCACATAGGACATATCCTGGTCAAAATTTACTCCAAATTCCTCTTGCCATCCAAATATCTGGTTATACAGCATGTTTCAAATGATTATTTTCATGGATCCAAACTGTCAGGCCAGGTCTGCAAGTGAACCTTGTGCACTGATTTTTGTGATCTAACCGGCTGGCATGGAGTTGTTGGTTTCCAAGTTTCATCAATAGTTATATAACTGGTATAAAATGATGTGATGATGTTCATACCGTGTCATTACCAGGTTGATAAGATGGGTCGTGGTTACCAGGGCGATCCATCCTCTGCTCTGCTGGAGCTCCTGGACCCTGAGCAGAATGCCAACTTTCTTGATCACTACCTGGATGTTCCTGTCGATTTGTCAAAGGTAGGTACTGTGTAACGAGTGCTCCACAGCTCCTCATAATATGTGGTTTTAATGTGCACCGTCTCTCCTCCTGTAAAGGTTTTGTTTATTTGCACGGCCAATGTGATAGACACCATCCCAGAGCCACTCAGGGATAGAATGGAGATGATCAACGTTTCTGGATATGTGGCTCAGGAGAAACTGGCTATTGCTGAGGTAAAATCTGCAAATGCGGGTTACACGTTACAATGTCTGTAAAGCTCTGTTAAGGGATGAACACAGTTTGTTTAAATATATTACCACAGTGGGTGTTTTCATTGTGGTGGTGTAATAACGGCGAAGGTGACAGAATATGATGTGAACTTTTAATCTTCATTAAACCATTCCACAAGCTCTTGCTCCCAGTGGAAGGGCCAGTTACTTCAGTTCAGTTTGATTTAATTTAACTATTTTAATTACCATCAGAATAGAAATGTTTAGGATAAATATGATCACTCAGAATTAATTAAAGAGCTAGCCCAGTGTAGCTTAAATTTAGAGGAAATCTCAATATTTGGGCTTTGCATCCCATGTATTGTAAAATTGAAATAATGATTTTGACACAAGGTTTCTGCCCTTGGCGGCCGCCCAGCATAGACAGTGCACCCGACCCCTACAGCACCTCCTGCGGGTAGTGGACACGTCCTTTAATAAGTGGAAGAGATGGATGGATGGGCGGGCATTGCATATTAGCGTTTTCTTTTCTTTTGGCTCAACCTCAGAGTATTTTTTTTGTTTGTTTTTTCATTTCTGTGTGTAGCGTTACTTGGTGCCACAGCTGCGCTCACTCTGTGGTCTGACAGAGGAGAAGGCTTCAATCTCATCTGATGCTCTCAGTCTGCTCATCAAGCAGTACTGTAGGGAGTCTGGAGTCAGGAACCTGCAGAAACAAGTTGAAAAGGTAAAATATTGTAAAAGTGCACTCAGAAAACAACCTTCTGCTTGTAACAGAAGCTAAAGACTTCTTTGCTGGGAGTAGTGGTATGAATATAATGTGTGTATGTAGTTGCTGGTTCTTTGTGACAAAAACATCCTTTTTCATTTTAATAGCAGTTGTGCCAAAAATGATTTTTTTTTTTTCTGTGTCATCCTTTTTTTTAAATCTATTATTTATCTCCTTATTGTTCTTCGTTTATTGCCCACAGGTTTTCCGTAAGGTGGCGTTCTGTATTGTGAATGGTGAACAAACCGGAGTGATGGTCACTCCTGAAAACCTGCAGGAGTTTGTGGGTAAACCTATTTTCACAGTTGATCGGATGTATGATGTCACTCCACCGGGAGTGGTTATGGGGCTGGCTTGGACCGCACTGGGTGAGAAAGAGAGACACACACACACACACAGCACCAGCAAAGGTTACCTGTACTGAGTGTGCATTTATCTCCTGTGCAGGAGGATCGACGCTGTTCATCGAGACTTCACTCCGCCGGCCTCCAGGAGGAGCGGACTCTAAAGGAGAGGGCTCATTGGAGGTCACAGGTCTGTCAGGAGTTTCCCATCTTGCGCCACCGCATTGAAAACAGTGTGTGGGTGTAGGAAAAAACATTCTTCCCTCAGTTAGTCCTTTACAAACGTAATCTGAGCTTTGTGTATTGGTCATAGGAGAAACAGAGTTAGAAAGTCTTCAAACCATTTCAGAGGTTTTAAAAACATGATCCTTAACAAATGCAGGTAAACTGATACTAAAGATGTGGCTCTCCTGCAGGTCAGCTGGGTGATGTTATGAAGGAAAGTGCGAAGATCGCTTCAACCTTCGCCAGAGCATTCCTTATGACTCAGGAACCGGAGAATCACTTCCTCATCAACTCCCACCTGCATCTGCACGTCCCTGAGGTAACCATTTATTTCATTTCAGTTCCATTTTATTTTAAATTTCATAAAGCGCCAAATCACAACAGTTGTCTCAAGGGGTTTTATATTGTAAGGTAAAGACCCTACAACACTGCAGAGAAAACCCCAACAATAAGGTGGTGCGGTATGACCAAGTATTTTGATGACAGTGGGAGGAAGAAAAACCTTTTAATAGGAAGAAACCTTGAGCAGAGCCAGGCTCAGAGGGGGAGGCCGTCTGCCACAACCAATTAGGTTAGACTGACTGACTGAGTGCATCATGAGAATCCAGCAGCAGCCTACACCTATTGCAGGATTCAGGGTCACCTAATCCAGCCCTAACTATATGCTTTAGCAAAAAGGAAAGTCTGAAGTCTAATCTTAAAAGTAGAGATGGTGTCTGTCTCCTGAATCCTGACTGGGAAGAGAGAACAGGTGCACAGGCGACCTCCAGACTCACAAACAACTTCTTCCCCTGGGCCATTCGGACTGTTAACAAACACTGCCCACCCTACACTCCACTCCTACCCACCCACCTCACCAATCTGATCATGGTCTGAGTAACCTTCATCACTAAGGTCACTCACACACAGACTCTATACTCAGACCAAGTCCTTTTCCACTGCTTCCAAGCACTTTGTTCTCCAATTTGTGGTCGTCTATTGTTTGTATGCATTTCTCCTGCTTGTTATTTATTCCTCCTGTCTACCATTTATATTTTATTCCCACACAGTTGGCATGCAGCACCCATAATTTCGTTGTACATGTACGATGACAATAAAAGGCTATTCTATTCTATTCTATTCTATTCTATTCTATTCTATTCTATTCGAGGGGGCTGAAGCTGAAGGCTCTGCCTCCAATTCTACTTTTAAATACTCTAGGAACAACAAGTAAGCCTGCAGTCTGAGAGTAATGTGCTCTAATGGGGTGATATGGTACTATGAGGTCATTAAGATAAGATGGGGCCTATAAAATAATAATATAAAGCAACTAATTAATTAGTTCTAACTTCTGTTAGTGTCAGTTAAAAGCCTTGCTGCAGCAAGAAAGATAAAGCTATAAGGGACTTTTTAGCCTACAGCCTACAATAATAATGTAATGAATGCATGAACCAGAAATATCCTGTTGATGCTTCTTGCGATAATGGTGGAACTGAACTGTGGCTGGCAGTGCTCATTCCTGTCTATTTTCACTTGTTTCTAGGGGGCAACGCCAAAAGATGGACCAAGCGCTGGTTGCACTATTGTCACGGCACTCTTGTCCCTGGCAATCAACAAGCCCGTGCGTCAGAATGTAGCCATGACTGGTGAGGTGTCTCTGATGGGCAAAATACTACCAGTAGGAGGGATCAAAGAGAAGACTATTGCTGTATGTACAACAAATATTCTTTGCTCATTTCTTTAACATGGATATCGTTCATTAACTAACAGCTAAAGTAATTGATGCTCACAAAACAGCTTCATGAAGGAATTTGAGGTCAGTACAGCTCCCATTTCAGCAACTCTGAAGAGGTATCATAAATGTTAACATGGCCAGCACACATATTAATGTTAGCTGTTTAAAGAGCAGCTATTGCTCGATAGCTACATTAGCCACATACTAGCAGGTCATGTCTGTGGCTAACAATAATGAAACTGTTGCATTATTGTGGCAGCTGAGCAACAAGTTTTATCCATTCTGCCAGACTGTAATAAAGTGTGTTCATTTAACAGAATAACACAATTATTTGTGTTGAATAAGTGTTGAAATGTAGATTACACTAGCCCAGGACAATAGTGGCAAGTCACCAGAAGCGCGTGTGTGTGTGTGTGTGTGTGTGTGTGTGTGTGTGTGTGTCATGTGAACAAAAAATTATGATTACTTTCAGAGAAATCACTTGGAATCACTTTTAGTTAACTTTGCTCGTTTGCTCCTCTGTCAGGCTCGTCGTGCTGGTGTGACCTGTATCATCCTTCCAGTTGAGAACAAGAAAGATTTCTCGGACCTGCCAGACTACATCACTCAGGGCTTGGAGGTCCACTTTGTGGATCACTACAGTCAAATCTACCCCATCGTCTTTCCACAGAACGAGTCTTAGCCTGTTTTCAACTATAGCACCTGACCAAGATTGATGGCACTTGACAACTCGGTACCTATTTATTACCCAACAGCAATAGCGGTGTCATTCTCGTCGTACATGGTGAAATCAACTTGTTACTTTTTGACTGAATGGACTCTGAGGTCCTGTTATAGAGACTTGGCACTACATCATCTGTTGCAGTATCACAGTGGAGCAGCAGCAGCCTTGTTGGTCACTCGCACATGATCCTGTTTTGGTTACCATAGAAGCCTTTACTGTGTGGGTACAGCTGTGACGGAGACAACAACACTGAACTGAAATGTGCCAAATATGGACACGGAAAGTCAAATGGTGACGGTAACACGTGACCATGTCACTGATTAGCAGAAGTCAGATTGAGGACTTTGCTGCCAGGCAGCTTGTTCATCCAGGTCTGTGGATGGACTCTTTCATAGATTTTGTGCATTTGTAGTATACCAGATGTCAGGATGATGATGTTGAAATCAACAATAAACAGACATAACTGAATGCTGTTGCCTGTTCTAGCCCACCTCTGACTGTGTGAGGGCATTTTAATGGTTTGATTAAGTTAAATAGACTGGAATTTATAAACCACTTTTGTACTCTTGGTGAGCAATTAAAGTGCTTGTTTCAACTTTATAATTTTAAAAAAGAAGTATGTAATTAGATGAAAATGACAACAAATGATCCAAAAGTGTTGCAAACAGTCAAGTTTGAATGAGACATGATGAGAAAGATAAACGGAGTGTAAAAAAACTTTGATCACTCAGATTAATGCTATATAGATGCCAGAGCATTCCAAAGAATGAAGTGTTCTACTTTCAACCCGCGCAGCTTTTCTGCACCAAAGCTACTTCCTTCTTTTGCATTTTTAATAAAGTTAAAAACCCATCAAATAATGACTTAAAGTAACTTTCAAAGTAACTTTTTTTTTAAATTTCTGCTATATGACTGTCATAGACCTATGCAGTGTTGTAGCAAAAAAGGTGGCTACGAAGGTCTATTGTGATTCTATTATTGGAATTGAATTGAGCCCATACACAGTTAGCACAGTGTCAGAGTACATCTCAAATACAACAGTTCACCACAAGATAACCCACTGAAAACTCTGTGGAAGAGATCAGGTTCAAATTAGCTTTAACATCCTGTCAGGCGTCTGTTTGGTCAAATAAAAAGCTGCTGATGCTACTCAAGCAACCCTGACAATTAGAAGCTTATGTATGTTACATGTAATATCCATTATGTATTTTAAAGTGTGTGGTTATATGTCAGACACTACAGATTTGCTCAATGTAGATAATCTTGGGATAAAAGTAATTAAGAACTTGTTGCCTTTTCCTTTTTGTCTGGACAAGGAAACACATGTTTGTCCTTAAAACTGTGCCTACAGGTAAAGGCAAATAAAATCTGGGCTTTGACTAAGCCACTTTGTAAGCACCTGTCTGCTTTGGGTCATTCTTCAGTGGTTTTGTTAGTGTGTGCAGAATTCATTTCCTAAAAGGAACTGTTCCAGTTCATCAAACAGATGACCTCGCATCACTGTCACGCATTTGTATTTGGGAAGAGCAGTACAAAGATTAATCAGTGATGAGGATCCTCTCATAGACCTGGACCCGAACGTAGAGTTCTAATTTTTCTTGAAATAAAGGTGAACTTTTTGCCGTCTCTGTGATTACAGTAACTTGATACAAGAAGTTGCCTAGGCATAGGCCTGGTAGCTACCAGCAGATCTTCTGATGTCATTTGGATTTCATTAAACACAGTCGCTTGGGCTCGATTTGCAGGGCTGACCAGCCCTGAAAGCTCGGATGATCGCTTGCATGTATCAGAAATCCTTTTAAAACCTCGCCACACTTAGTCTTTTTTGAACACACACTTTTCCAGCTGGGCTGAGATGTTCTTGAAACCCTGGTTGTCTTTGATGCGTTTGAAGACGCGATAAATGTCGCCTTCTTACCTTGTTCACGTGACTAATAATTGTATCTATATTAACCATTTCTGTTCCGTTCCTGACACCTGAGAATATTTTGTTGGCACTGTGACGGTGAGCGTAATGAAAATGTCCACGGTTTCCACGGAATGCAGATTTTACGCACTACGTTAGCGTGAGATGGCAATCTGCAGGCGAACGACCACAGATTCTTACACAGATGAGTTTGATGCACAACATTTATCACGAAGACTTTGCTGTGATTAACGTGTGCAGGAGACGCTTCTGTGCTTCTTGCGGAGCACTGCTGACTCGACGATCGTCCTGAGGAGCAGCAGCGTGGGGTAAATGGATGGGAGGGTTCACTGGGAGTGACGAATGAATGAACAGCTGGATGATGGCATTCAACAAAGACATGATCTGAACCGATTTGCACTGATTTGCACTTAGTGCTACACTATCAAGCCTGCCATAATATTTCGCTGCTGGCTCCCGTCTTTTGTTGACATCATAAGCGTGTGTGCGACGGCCCGCGGTCCTCTGCAAACTGTAGATTTTTTTCCTCCCCTCTTCTACTTTCATTTATTTGAGGCAAATTATTAGAACCGTCTGCTAAGAAGGAATAAGAAGACGTCGTGCAGGTCGGACGTCCTTATCTGGGTCTCCCACGTCCTTCCCCAACGAGGTATTTATTCTTCCGCACGCATCCATCATGGTGCTTCTTATCTTATATGCGTTTGTCTTCGCAGAGTCCATTTAATCACCCTTTGGCATGCACGCTGCCATCAGATACTGGTTACTGTTATTGTGTAGCTTCTGTGTTAAGGTGGCCTTTAGCACAGCATATGACTGCATGTTTAGCTGCCCTTAAAGACAGCTTTTCTGGTTTCATTGCTGTCAGTCAATGGAAATATTTTATGTGTTTCATATCTTACATACAGAGAAACCCAGTTCATGCTGCAGCAGCCCTGTAGTTACACAGTAGAGGACGTTTACAGGCGAGCAGCAGAGTGAAGTGGCCTTGATGGTAGATCCTTTCATGCAAGTCAAATCCTCTTGGCATGAGCTGTTTCTATGGTGACAGAGATTCACCAACTGATATGAATATGGAAAAGATTACATTTATTGAGATGTTAATCAGAATAAAACTACATTTACAGTCATGGTTTAAAATTAATTACACTCACCTTTAATTCTAAGGCTTTAGAAAAATCTGGTCCTAACCTCAGATAAACTACAAAAGCATGTCATAGTGTTATATTTATTTAACAAAAAGTAAGACCGAATGCAAACGCAGTGTATGAAGTAGGCCCTTGCTGTTTTTTCATAAGAATATAGAAGGTAGGTAGCAGCCAGGTGCTGCTAATCAGATATTTTTGATCATCAGGAATTATGACCTTCACTGTCAGAAAAGAGGTTTTTCCACTTTATTGTTCCAAGCAGGAAAGACATCGGAAATGGTCTCACAGAAACAGTTGTTGTTGTTCAATAATCTGGGACGTGCCATTTCCAAACAATTTGAAGACTATATTTTTACAGTAGAAAAATTATTCACAACTATAAAATACTCTGGATTAAACCAGCTCCAGGAAAACCTCAAACACCAGCTGTAAGCCCTGAGACAAGTGGATAATTTGTGAAAGGTACAAAAAAAGCAAGAGAGGGTACGATCACATTTTTATGGAACCCTTTAAGTTTCTAAAATCACTTTTCACCATAGCAAAAAAGGGAATACCTGAAGACAAGGCAAGAACTAGACACACATTTTGACAAAAGTATACAATGACAAGAATTAGTTTGAGCCAACACCTAATCCAGCACGCATAAGAAGACAGAGAAGAGTAATATGTTTCTTCGAGAGGAAAAGGTTGAGGCTCCCTACATGTTTGAGGAGTATCGAGTTGTTTGGCCAGGAAGCACTTTTTCTCCATCAAGCATGATAGAGGTAGGCCTTTAAGTGCACTAAAATGAACCGATTATTAGAATCTACAAATACAACAATCAGAGTTGCTGCCATTTGTGTGAGTGTGTGTGTGTGTGAATGGGTGGATGACTGAATGTGTAAAGCGCTTTGGAGTCCTTAGGGACTAAGTAAAGTGCTATACAGATACAGGCCATTTACCATTTATCTATAAACAGGGTGAATTTGGAAAGCTGGGATTGCAAATCAAGAAGCAAAATCTGCTTTTCTCCATAGTGACATTCTTGGGAATACACCTGGGCGTAGGACTTAGAACAGAGGTGGGGGAACTCCAGGCTTCAAGGGCCCGTGTCCTGCAGGTTTTAGATATCATCCTGGGTCAACACACCTGAATAAAAAGATTAGTTCATTACCAGACATCTGGAGAACTTCAAGACACGTTGAGCAGGTAATTTAGCCATTTGAATCAGCTGCTTGGGATCAAGGACACATCTAAAACCTGCAGGACAGCGGCCCTTGAGGTCTTGAGTTCCCCACCCCTGATTTAGAAGCATGCGACAACACTTTGGGAAAGCATCTGCATCAGACTGTATAGAAAAAGTCATGGCTGAAATTCACTAACAAGAGGAAACCTCAAGATGTGCTTGGGCAGTATCCCAGGTGAAACATAGGTAGTGGATGAAATGTTTAGGTGTGGGGAAAATGGGAGTACCACCTCAGAAGAGTTATGAAAGAGAGAATGTTTGGCTGTATCATCAGATCAACATACAAAACTCTCTGACGGTGTGAAGTACATCATATTAACTGGTACAACTGAAATGATAAGGGGAGAGTATTCTGACAAAGAAGCAACAAAGCTGCAGTTCTGGACCCCCACACAGCACAATGTTTGATCTTGCTAACTTAAGATCAGACATTGTACTGTGTGGTGGTGTGTTGAACTCACACTGTGCTGCCTGCTTTATTAAGTTCGCAGTGCCCTGGGAAGATGTCATAAAGGAAGCCAATGGGTTGAAGAAACTACGGCGTACTGAACTAGTAGTGGAAGCAAGGCAGAGAGGCTACATGGCAAATATGTCTACAATGGAGATTAGATGCAGAGAATTTCTTGCATCATCTCAGTAAGACTCTTGAAAGGCATATGTATTAAAAGATAGACGCTGCAACTATGCATGAAAAAGAAATTGTTGGCAGAACATTTTTAAATCATCCTCTGATGAGCAACCGTTGAACCATGAAGAAACTTTCCTTAACTTTATTTGCAATGTATAAAAGCAAAAGGGAAAAAAAAGAATAATTTTTAAGAAATAATTTAATTTGTAATTCATGGATGTGTTTTTCTAGCTTTTATTTTTACAATATAAATATATTCCTTATGCCAAAAAGTTTATTCATCTGGACGTAGCGTTTTCAATGGGAGAAACATTTTGTCGCTCATTGAAGTGGCTTCTTCAGTCTCAGCTGACTGCAGGTTTCCCCAACTTTATAAACAGTACATTTGCATAATGACTGAAACCAGCCCACTGAATAAACAGTGAGCTGTGAGGTCAGTTTCTTCATCACTGAGTGAATGGAGCTCAGTCTCTGTCTTTCTCGCTTTTTCTCATCGATATGGAGGTAATCATTCAAATAAGATATTTATATAAATATATAAGATATTTATAAGTAATAGTCTATAGTGGATAGTAGACTATCCACTGGTCAAAAGTTTAATATGCATATTGAAGGACATATCCTGGTCAAATATGACTCAGAGATTGTTCACAGTACTGGATGTCAAGGTAATGCTTCCTAATGTTCCTGCCTAGGAGAAGTGTTTATAAATAATGTAAATACAACTGGTCTCAGCACAACACCCAGAGGAAGTTCATAATTAACCTTAGCCTGTCAAGAACACTTTCCTATTTACATGAATAAACTGGAGTTTATTAGATACAAAAGATATTCAAACCCCTGCAGCACAGTGCCTTTAATACCTGTCGCTTGTTCTACTCTATGTAGTAAAATATTGTGGTCAATAGTATCTAATTCTGCAGTGAAGTCTAGCAGGACAAACGAAAACATCAGTTCATTGTCAGAGAGGTCATAGGATCATTCTGAACTTTCTCTAGTGCTGTTTCTTATTGTAATCAATTCTGAATCATGACTGTCAGATTTTAGAAGAATCAATTCAGTTTTATTTATTTTATATAGCACCAAATCACAGCAACAGTTGCCTGAAGGCACTTTATATGTAACATAAACGCCCTACAGTAATACAAAGAAAACAGAGAAAACCTCAACAGTCATGATCGCCTATGAGAAAGCAGGAAAAACTTTTTTTTAACTCTTTTAACAGGAAGAAACCTGCAGAAGAACCAGGCTCAGGGAGGGACAGCCATCTGCCGCGAGGAAGACAGGAGTAGACATGCTGTGGAAGGGAGCCACAGTTGTTAGTTAATAAGAATTAATGATTAAATACAGAGTTGTGTACAACTACATATTGAGTAAAAAGGTGACTGAAGAAGAAACACTCAGTGTATCATGGGAATCTCCAGCAGTCTATTTCTTTTGCAGCATAACTAAGGTAGGACCTTGTATGTGAGGAGCAGGATTTTGAATTCAATTCTGGATTTAACAGGGAGCCAATGAAGACAAGCCAGTATAGCAGAAATATGCTCTCGCTCTCTGTCAGTACTCTTCCTGCAGCATTTTGGATCAACTGAAGGCTGAGATATTGCACAAATGGAAGAAGTCATTTGTTTGATATGCACATTGAAGGATATATCCTGGTCAAAAATGACTCCAAGATTCCTCACAGTGTTGCTGGATGCCAAGGTAATGCCATCCAGAGTAAGCATCTGATTAGATACCATATTTCTAAAACTTTCAGGGCCAAGTACAAAAACCTCCCTTTTATCTGAATTTAGAAGCATTTAGCGGTAATCCAGGTCTTTATGTCTTTAAGACATTTCTGTAATTTAATTAATTGGTGTGTGTTATCTGGCTTCATGGGTAGATAAAGTTGGGTGCCATCTGTGTAGCAGTGAAAATGTATGCTATGCCTTCTAATGATACTGACTGAGGGAAGTAGGCATAATGTAAACAAAATTTGTCCTAGCACTGAACCCTGTGGAACTCCATAATTAACCTTAGTGTGTTAAGAGGACTCTACATCTGCATGAATAAACTGGATTCTCCATAATGACTTAAAGGTACTCCACTCCATTTAATATCTACAGCATGCTCTAATCGCTGTTATAAAGTATTATGGTCAATGGTATCAAACACTGCACTGAGGTCTAGCAGGACAAGCACAGAGAGGAGTCCACTGTCAGAGGCCAGTCGCTGTACTGTGATGAGCTCTGAAACCTGACTGAAAATCTTAAAATAAACAATTCCTCTACAGATGATCAGTTAGCTGTTCTACAACTACTCTTTCAAGAATTTTTTAGATAAAAAGAAGGTTTGTGATTGGCCTACAATTAGTTAAGACAGCTGAGTTAACCTGTCAGCCTGGCTACAGTGCTGAAAAGAAACATCAACATGATTGTAATGCAGTGGCAGGAACTTTCTGAGCAACATTATGAAGAACAGTGAGCCAAAATTGATCCACAATACTGTGAGAGACTTCAAGTTGCCACAAAATGTGGTTCCACAAACCACTAAATCAAATGGGATACAAATGGGATACTACATGCTGCTTTTGAATTTTGGCTTTGTTCTTGTTCAGTTTTAATAAATAGGAATTGTTCGGAGTCTGAAATGTCAAAAAACAATATGCCAATGAGACCTTTGACAGAATCCTAGGATGTATCCATTGGATTGTATGGCTCAAGCTGATTTGAAAAATTGTTTGTTGTTACAGTATTATTTTCAGGCTAATTTGTGTAGGAGGGACTTCCTCCTCACTGACCATTTTACATATTTTTGTTCGGCCTCAAAACAAGTCAGAAGAATGCTGATCATGACTCATTCTGTGTTCTCACCTTTCTCAGTTTTATCTCTTGACGTGATGGCTGTGTTTTTGGTGCTTCTTCTCTCCACGCTCCTCCTGTCTCTACACTCCACTCCTCTACGAGCCTCTCCTTCCTGCCCTGTGGGCTGTCGCTGCTACAGCCTCACTGTGGAGTGTGGCTCCACAGGACTGAGGGACATCCCCAAATACATCCCTTTAACCATACAGGTAGGATCGATGCCCTAAGAAGATTCAATTTAATTCAAATGCAAGAAAGTAGTCCTATATATTTGTTTAATGTGAGCATTAAAAGTCTCCAAGATTCCGCACAGTGTTACTGGAGGACAAAGTAATGCTATCCAGCGTGAGAATATGGATACACACAGTGTTTATAAGATTGTTAGGAATAAGTACAATATCCTCCGTTTTAGCTGAATTGAGAAGCAGAAAATTAGATGTCATGCAGGCCTTTATGTCTTTAAGACATTCCTGCAGTTTACCTGGTGGGTGTCACTCCGTTTCATGGATAGATAAAGCTGTGTGTCATCTGCATTTATAC